CTATATATATATAAAACTATATGTATTTATATTTAATATATATATATATATATATATATATTATATATATATATAATAATGATTGTATATATATATATATATTTATAATCATTATTATATCTGTATATATGTACATGTATATTATATCTGTAATTTTATATTTATAACGTCTAAATCTATATCTATATATCTATACATGTGTGTGTATGTATATGTATATTATCTAATATATATATATATATATATATATATATATATGTGTGTGGGTGTGTGTGTGTGTATGTATACGTATATATCTATCTATATATATATGTATCTATATGTATTTATATTTAATATATATATATATATATATATATTATATATATATAATAATGATTGTAAATATACATATATATATTTATAATCAATATTATTTCTGTATATATGTACATGTATATTATATCTGTATTTATATATTTATAACGTCTAAATCTATATCTATATATCTATAACGTCGATATATATATAAATATATATCTATATATCTATAACGTCTATATATAAATAAATATATATCTATAACGTCTTTATCAATATCTACATCTACATCTACATCTATATTAATATAATCTATATATATATACGTATATATGTTACATGTATATTGATACGAATGGTCTGCACGCTTCAAAATGAGTACATGCCCTCTTCCACACACCTGCGCTGCAATGGTAGCAGCCTTGTGAGACTTGAACATCACAAACCCAGAGTTGGCCCCGAACATAACGTTCTTAGCATTGGAGAAGGTCTTGATGGCTGTGCACTGGCGTGTGAGGATGTCTACGCGTTCATCTCGGTTGAGTTCAGGATGGTCGGCCAATGCGATGGTCGGCTGTTGCAGAACCTGCTCGATAGGAGAATCCTGCAGCCCACGTGAACGACAGGCGGGTGTGAGTAGACTGCCCTACTGGAAATGGCCAGTCGAACGGATGATACTAACTAGATCGTGGGTCTTTACAGTTCATCTTCATACGAGTCTGCGTGCGTCTATGCGCATACATGCACAAGCGAACACGTCGACACATACAGCTGCATACGGATACATACATACACCCTACTTGCCATATCATACACCCTACTTGCCATACTCGTACTGTAATTGTACTCCGCTGCCACTACCACTCACCTTGCGTCTCATGCGTGCCAGTTCGCTCTCGTCTCGCCCGGCTGTATCGGGTTGTATGGGCTGTGTAAGTGACTGGGAGTGTGAGCCTGTGTCAATAGTGGGGTCTTCATCGTCCGGCAAATCGTACCCGTAAAGCGCATACACTTGCTTGATACTGGTCTGTTCCGCGCGCACTTTGTCGTTGAAGTTCTGTACTTGGTGGGCGTAGTACTGGATGGAGTCGACCTTACTGTGGAGCGATGGGGCGAGTGGGTATATGGAACGGGCTAGTATGAGTGGGGTGGAGCAGGCACGGAACATGCGTGCTTGTACAGGAACTAGTTCAAACACACACACACATACACACACACACCTGTGCATGTAGGCAGGTGACACGACGACACAGACGGCAACTTATACTACAAACCTGAATGGATGTTTCCAGGACGTTGCATGGCGCGGTCTTGACGAGTCGGGATTCTGCTTGTACTTGTACAACACCTGTGGACGAAATGGTAATTGTCAGATGCATGCATAACATGATGGTGGTCTGATTGATTAGATGTATGCATCACATGGTGGTGGTCTGATTGATTAAGATGCATACATCACATGGTGGTGGTCTGATTGATTGAGATGCATGCATCACATGGTGGTGGTCTGATTGATTAGATGCATGCATCACTTGGTGGTGGTCTGATTAATTGAGATGCATGCATCACATGGTGGTGGTCTGATTTATTGAGATGCATGCATCACATGGTGGTGGTCTAATTGATTGAGATGCATGCATCACATGGTGGTGGTCTTAACTTTAGTCCAAAGTGTCATTCACAAGCCAGATGTGTGCACAATACATTGCAACACCACGCTTTGCTTAGCTCACCAAGGGAGAGACTGCCCTCCCACTCGATCATATATCACCTATCCAGTAGAGGGACGCCAACACTAGAATACTCGCAACATATTCCATCACTAGACTCACCTTCTCTAGCTACCTATTTCACCACTACACTCCCCTTCTCTAGCTACCTATTTCACCACTACACTCCCC